CCGTTTTTCCTCGGGGGGTGGGTACGGCTACACGTAGGCTACGGTTGCTGCTGAAAAATGTTGATTTTAGCAATAGACAAAGGTTGAAAGTCAGCGAGTGAAATCATTTATTTACGATATATAATTATATATTTAAGTGAGAGCGTCGAACGCACTCTCATAATCTCTGATTACTACTAGTAAATATATTTATTAGCCACTCAACTGTGTTCTATTTGAAATCCGCGAATCTGATTGGTTCTCAGATGACGCGAAACTCGTACCTAGACCTTCGCACTCAACAAAAAATGTCTTTGGCTTTTATTTAACAAATAAATTCCATATTGCCGTGCGTCTGTTCAGCAATAGATCACACAGATGACGTCAAAATGTGCAAGAACAGAAAGTGGCACATGAGCCGTTAGGAGAGTTTGTCACTGATGTTGAACTCAGACGGGAAAAAAGAGAGGACGCTATTCGGGGACAAAAATCCGAGAAAATCATATATGGCAGAACTCTGGGTAAGCGCTCGCGCCTTGTGATCATGTAGAAATTACAAGTAGTACCACGAGAACCTTCGAAAAGCTTATCCGCAGAGCTAAAAACAAGGGTAAAATCAGAAGTTATTAGCTGCCATCTTCAAATCGCGCAATGAATGATGGGAAGCTCGTTATTTGTACTTACTTACTTGCTGGAGTTCAAATCACTCGCTCAAAACGCGGGAATGACGACATCCGAGGAAGCACTTGACATCAACAATAAATTTATTTGTTTTCGGTTAGTAGTGTGTTTACGGCTAAATGTTTGACAGAGTGTTTCGAACTTTTCTGGCATTGCCGGTTTTAGTACATATTTATGTGCGCCTGGACGTGTAATGGAAAATGTTGAATTTGTCATTTGGTCGAGCAATTTAAAATTGCTTTCCGCTTGTTTATTTCTGTGTTAAGGGCAGAACGGTCTTCACAAAGCTCATTTTGTAATGGTAATCAAGGTGTGAAAAGCTAGTTAGGCTTCTCAAAATTTTTAAATGGATGGCACCTCAGAGATCACAATGCAATAAAATCAGCAACGGGATATGTTGTCCAATGCCATTTCTTTTTATTTGGTAAAATTGAAGCCACCTAATACCCCTAAAACTGTTTTTGCCGTTCAGTAGAACAACACCCTACCATAAGGCGATCTATTTTTCCAAGGCAGCGTTGCATAATTCATAGCCCTGAGAATTATTTTAAAATTTACACAGCCGACAAATTGAGAATGGCCCAATCACCAGGTACAGTAATCGCTGAAGTCTCGACTGCCTTCTTAACAAATATGCCCACAAACAGTCAAGTGTAGGCAGCCGAAAAAAGGACTCTCCGACATTTGCTAACTAAGCTAGGTACAATTATTTACAAGCAATTTTCTTTTCGGGGGCTGCTTTTTTGTTGACTGTCCCCGTCCATGTTTTGTGATCCGAGCGTTGTCGTGGAGAAAGTTTTGTTAAAAGAGTACCTTTTCAAATACACCCATTTGTGACACAAGCAAAATCGCCAACACTTGCGCAAAATCTTCTTGAATTCTCGTTTGAATTCGTTGTGTCTCCACGCGTACAAAACGGGATTTACCACCGAGTTGCTGTACAATAAAATCCGAATCCAGAAGCGCGCGTGTTGGCTTACTGCTGTTTCTGGTGCGGCGAAATGGTACAAGATGAGAATAATGCGAGGGTACACCAAAAGTATGAACGCTCCAATCACGATCGCAATAGTGTTGGCTGCTTTGTGTTCCCTTTTCTGAACATAAGTCTCCGAAGCCTGTTTGTCCTGCCTTTCATCCACGTAGGGACGACGTCTGGAATCTAAAGTCGAACAGCGCGACAGGCGCACGACATTGTTTGCCATCCTGCCGCTCGAACGCTGTTTTAAGATCGACTTGCGGACAATCTTGAAAATTCTATAGTATGCGACCGCAATGACCGACGTTACGAGCAGGACAAACGCGACAAAGAACGCTAGAAAAGCCACGTCACTCACACCAGGAAACTTTGGTACGCAGGTCACAAATATAGACACGGCCCATATTAGCGCGATTGCTATTGAAACTTTCCCTTTTGCAAACTTCACTGACGACAGATAAAACATCGGGTGCGACAGAGCCACGTAGCGGTCAATGCTCATCGCAGCCAGGCTGGAAATTGATGCGATGATGTTCACTCTTCCGACAAAACCAGCGACCTCAACCGCGGCCTTTGGTATGCTTGTACCGCCGTTATACAAGGCCATATGCTGTGATGCTCGCATTGGAACTAGGATTGCGCTAACCAACAAATCCGCAAAGGCGAGAGAAGCCAAAAGAAAGTTTGAAACCACCTGGAGTGATTTTTTCTTGAACACCACGAGGATTGTCAGAGAATTGCCCAGAGTTCCGAGCAGACATAAAGCAATCTCCACACATGATGCAAGAAGAACAGCAGCAGAACCCTCTTGAGTAGTATTTGTAGAATTAGAAGCTGCCATTTCTTTGGCCAATCTTTTAATCTTTCTCACAGTGCCTCCTTACTCTACGGAAAGAAAAGAAAACATTAATTGCATTGTTTCGAATTCAGCTAACTATATTTATGACATTTTTATCAGTTGTTCCTCCTACAACACTGAAGAGTTTGTACTTGTCAATGATCTTTTGGGACAATTAAAATGAGATTACAGTAAAGCACGATTTCTGTTAACATTTCCCAGTCTACATCTCGTAAATAATGGAGGCAAACTCCAAAACTACGCAATTATGTGTCCCGAGGTGCGAAACTGGCCGAGAATTATGTTAATACTCTCAGTGTTTTTTGACGTCTTTTTGTAGAGGAAAACAAGAGGGAGGGATCGAACTAATTGTTTTGTCTCCGAAACAGTGACTTGCCACAATGAAAGACAAAACACAGTTTCTCGGGCCCTTTTAAATTCTGCGGACTGTAAAATAAATTAAACATAATATAAATTGTTCCCATACTTTTGCTCCTATTTTAGTTTTCAATTTTGCAGTTTCCGTTAATTAACACTTTAATGGCAGGAGGAAGCGAGATCTGTGTTAAGGCAGTCATGAATGCGTGAAATTTATACTTTATCACAAGGCCAGCAAACAATCCGGTTACATGGACCAAATAGACATTATACCACAGGCTAAGCGTAATTATCGTCCTTTCAATACTCGTGTTATGGTAAATACTCGCTTCTGATTGGTTGGAAGCGAGGCAATTTTAATATCGCAAATTTTATCGATAGCTGAACAAGTTCTTATTACATCGGTCGCATTTTAGCAATGGATTCAGCTCTTGGTGATGAGAGCGAACATGTACTACTGATAAAAATTCTAAGTTTCCCTTTTCAGGCAAACAAAAAGTTCTTTATGAAGAAGCACCAGCAAAAAATTACAGCGTGGCCTCACTAGCAACCCTCTATAACGAAAAGACGGCAGTTTCTTTGATGGAAGCTTGCTTACGGTTGCCGTATTATTAAAAGGAATTTTTTTCTCGTAACAATTAGGGATAAATGTGCTTGTGACTGATCGGACTTTTTCATATTTCCACTGGTGGCTGCGGCAGCCACTCGATAATTAATTAAAAAGTACGATCTGTTCACGCGTGCAATTTTACAATTCCTAATTGTTTCTCAAATAGACTGATTTCCTATACTGATCGAGAAAAGCGAAAAATTCAAATTACCTTTTCTTTTGTTGTCTGTTTTCGTTTGGCTTGCAGTTGCACGACGCCATTTACTTTTTGCAGTAATTTGTCATATG